CTGCCGCCCCCCAAATCTATAGGCTGCTGCCCCCCCCAAATCTATAGGCTGCTGCCCCCCAATCTATAGGCTGCTGCCCCCCCAAATCTATAGCTGCTGCCCCTATAGGTTGCCCCCCCAAATCTATAGGCTGCAGTTCATTCTAAATCTCACACCTAAAAATAGCAGAACAAGCTGAAAATCCCCTTGCCCCCTCATGACTTCCAAGGACTATAGTGTCCCTTTAATTGCCAAATTCTGCAACTGAGGAAAAGGCCCTCGTTTAGGTGTAGCGGACACTAATTAGGGCTTATGGGGGTCTCCTGTGAGTTCTGGGGCTACATGTATATTAGAGTCTGGTGATCCCCATTTTTATAGTGACAGTTCTGCTTTAAATTTATTTGTAAAACAGCTGGGATACTGGATTCCAAATCTTTCACCATCTCCACAGAAATCATTACATTCAATAACCAAGATTCTTGACAGCTGCCTAGTTTGCCTTTCCTAGTAACAGACATTTTAATTTTCTTGGTATCACTCTGGTCATAATTAAAGTTACAGTCCAAAAAACCATAACCACTACATCTCACTATATTGGTCATGGCACCCTCCTAGTGTAATTTCTCAAACTGTTTTTGACTGATTTGACAACCTACCTGGGTACTGCGTCTAGTCTTTTCCTGTAGACGAATCTTTGTGTATTCACTGAGCTAAGCATAGCCTTATATATTCCTGTTCTCACTTGTTATAATGCTTTAAAAAAATGGGGGTCCCCTCTATCCTGGATTATCCTTTCATATAACCGCTGCTATTTCAGATTTCATTTCCCAAGGTGGATTTAAGCACTTGTATCAAATCTAAGATCTGCATTCCCTGTCCTTTTGACATTTCTTAATTTCGTTCACTCTGCCTTCGCCCTGTATATCTGACTTCTTGGCGCCTTGCTGCGTAAATGCCAAGTCTTAAGTATGTACACACCGGTTTCGAGAAAGGAAATATTCTGTGACATTAATTGTCACTCATCTGTGAAAATGTACATTTAACATTTCATTAAATTCTAATGTGGACTGGAGAATTTGAGAGAATAACGTGTACTGTTTGCATTAGCATCAGCCGCGTCTGGAAATATAAGGTGATAAGCCGATGTCTAAGATATTTTTATCTCGAGGAGAAGTCCAGACTGACTTTATGGTCAGTCAATTACGTAACATTATGGATTACACAATTAAAAAGGCAAACACCTGGTTTCAGTTAATGCATTTCTATTCCCCCTCTGATTATCATGGAATTAATTGTTATCCTCTGAGGCCTATTCTCTACCTTTGGAATTGTAAGTAACAATTCTACTTTTCTTCTTCTTACATGACTTTTCAATTTCCCCTTGCTTGGTGTGCCCCCTTGCTTGTATTATTTCAACCTACCTGTTGATTCAATATTCCTGGATAAGCCATTCACATTATATTTCATATATATATATATATATATATATATATATATATAAAATCCACCCCCGCTCCCCTATATACCTCCTGTTTTTTCTCCCCTTTAATAGTGGATAATCTTTCATATGAATTAAAAAATAAAACGGGACATTACTGTACATTAAAGACAGCTATACACAGCTCAAGTTATCCAGAGAAGTGATGGTTCCTCTTTAATAGATCGAATGCAGATTGAAACAGTGCAGTCTTAACAGCAGTATGGGCCCCCGGGCAACTGCCCAGCTTGCCCATGGGAAAAGACGACCCTGAATTGAAAGAGTCACACTAAGCATAACTAGTTCATCTTACTGAAGTGGGTATGGATCAAATACCCTGTTGCTGTAACCTTACTTTATTAAAATGATAAATACCTTTTCTATTATCAGTTTTACGTCTGACATCAGCTGCACAGTTTCTCCTTGTGGATTTGAAACAGCCAGCAGTAGTTCAGTGCTAAGATTGGCAGCATCGATAGATATCCCCTCTCTACCTAATTCATCTTCACAAATGATAATGTCAGACCAGAGAATTCTCTTTTAAGTCGTCACACAGCACAATATCCCACAGAGGTGTCTGCCCACATGAAACCTGCAAATATTATTATATAAATTAAAGGACCACTATAGTGCCAGGAAAACAAACTTGTTTTCCTGGCACTATAGGGTCTTTAGGTCCCCCTCACTCTCAGGGCCCCAGTCCCGCTGGGCTGAAGGGGTTAAACACTTACCTTTCTCTAGCACCTGGGAACTCTCCTCCCTCTGCCAATGTCAGCACCGAATGTGCGCATTCAAACAGTCCATAGGAAAGCATTTCTCAATGCTTTCCTATGGACGTTCAGCATCTTCTCACTGTGATTTCCGCTAGAGGCTGGATTAACCCCAGTGTAAACAAAGGAGTTTCTCTGAAACTGCTATGTTTACAGCTGCAGGGTTAACCCTAGATGGACCTGGCACCCAGACCTCTTCATTGAGCTGAAGTGGTCTGGGTGCCTATAGTGGTCCTTTGAATATTAATTAGAGGTGAAGAAGGCTCTGTTGAAACAGGCTTACATTCTATGAGGATTTGAGGTAGGTGAGGTTGTCTGATCAGGATTCAAACCTGCCTTTCCCAATTCTAAGGCAGTGACATCACCACTGCTCTACCAATATCCCATACACTCTGTGACTCAGTCAGGAAGTTACAAGCCCACTTTCAGTGCTGCCTGGTTGTCAGGCAATTGAGCTCCCTGATAGACAAAAAAAGGACATAAATTGGTTCTGGAGTTTGATCTCTGGCTTTGAACAAGCTACTTTGTTGGGAATTTATGTCCCATTAATTTGCGTGCAAGGAGTTATTATTATTATTATTGCCATTTATATAGCGCTAACAGATTCCGTAGCGCTTTACAATATTATGAGAGGGGGGATTTATCTATAAATAGGACAATTACAAAAAACTTACAGGAACGATAGGTTGAAGAGGTCCCTGCTCAAACAAGCTTACAGTCTATAGGGTTGCCTGGCATTATTGCCTGCCATTATTAGATTATAAATCCTATGTTGTTCAATGAGATTATGTTTATAAAACAGAAACACAGAATGTGACGGCAGATAAGAACCATTCGGCCCATTTAGTCTGCCCAATTTTTGGGCACATTCGAAGCAATACAGCCCTGAAATGTTAATTCATTTTAATCCCTAAATCTTTAAGGGAAGCTGTGGAATGGAGATGTGCCTTTAATACCCGGGGACAGTGGAAGGTTCACTCCAATTGACAGGCAGAAGGCGGGACACAGAGCATCCCCCTTCTCGCTAGAATAAGTGTTTGCTTCACTGACAGCTCCCCCACCGCCCTGTACTAATGCCGGGAGCCGGATGTGGCGGGAGTGTGTGTGCATATGAATGTTAGTGTATATGAATGTGAGTGTCTGTGTATACATGTGTGCCGAAGTTTGCCTACCCCTGACTTAGGTAATATTTGTGCAAATTCTAATAAGTAAATTTTTTTGCAAGCACTTATATCTATTAAAAAAAGTATGCTTTTCACCAACTCCATGGACTTTTACAGTACTGCTATTTCGGCTTAAAACTTGCAATTTCAACATCAGTTCTTCACAATTCCCAATATATTAACTAAATTTCTAGTCTATAGTGTCCCTCTGTATATTGGTGATACCAGGATCTTATACACAGGATTATCGAGAATAAGAAAGAAACATGTATGGAATCTGCTAGGTCATTAAGCCAAACCACACTTTTAATCAAACTGCTTAATCGATGGGAAGTAATGCATTGTTATAAAACTAACTCCTATTGATTCCCTGATTATTGTTGCAATAACAGTTTACTCTGTTTATTGAAGTACACCTCTCTGCTTACAATCTGTTGTGAAAAAACATTTGTCTGTGATAATTTTGTGCTCATTCACACGGTTTGTGTTTCTAATCAGTAATTTATATTTCTATATATACACCGAGTACAATGAGTACAGATTTACCTAACAATTCTGATCGGATGTATTCACTAAACTCTAAATTTTAGCAAACGGAATATTGAATTTCAAAATCGAGGCAACAATAACCAAGCAGGGATTATAGCGGAATTGGATACATTTTTATTAATGTAAATTTAGCAATTTGATTTTAAACTCAATGCAATTTGGTGTTTAAAACCCGAAATGATCAGTCCTCTAATTTTCTGTTCTTTGCCGTGGAAGAAAATCTTTGCTAGACTTGGATCAAAGCAACCATGCTCTTTTAGGGTACTATCTATTGAGGAGTAATGAGTTGCACAGAGTTTGAGCTGTAGTTAGAAAATCATTTTCATACAGCAACATTGAGGTTTGGTTGACCAACAAGTAGAATATTTCAGCAAATTGTTTACTCCTTTTTGCTTGGCAAATGAAGAATAATTTCAGAAGGGAACCATCATAAAAATGAGATTAAAAAACCACAGCAAACACACAAAGAACTTCCATTTAAAAAATCCGATGTTGCACCCTGGGGAAAAGAAGTAGAGATTAACTGCCAGGCCTGGTACACTCTGGTGAGGGGCCGCTGCCCACAAACAAGTAGCAATAGCAGAGAATACACAGGTTCTAAAGGGTGGGCACATAAATGTAAGTTTATTGGAAACAGAAACACAAAATAACCAAAAATTCAAAACAAAAGTCTTAGTCATGTGTAACAGAACATAGTATACATCACAGTTTATATAAAAATAGGAACCCGAAGCTCCTCTAGTGGCTGTCTGGTAGACAGCCACTAAAGGTGGAGTTAACCCTGCCATGGTAATTATTGCAGTTTATCAATAACTGCAATAATTCCCATTTCAGGGTTAAACTGACAGGGATATTGCATCCTGGCCACTTCAATAAGCTGAAGGGGTCTGGGTGCCTATAAGGTCCCGTTAAAGTCAAGTCTGTAAGTAGAGGAGGATGTCTATTTTGATGATAGTTAGAGATGTCCCGAACTTTTCGCCGAACGGTTTGCGAACGGTTCGCCACGAACGGTTTGCCGCGGACTCATCATTGAGTAAACTTTGACCCTGTACCTCACAGTCAGCAGACACATTCCAGCCAATCAGCAGCAGACCCTCCCTCCCAAACCCTCCCACCTCCTGGACAGCATCCATTGTGAAGCTGCATTCTTAGTGAGCTGTCCAGGAGGTGGGAGGGTCTGGGAGGGAGGGTCTGCTGTTGATTGGCTGGAATGTGTCTGCTGAATGTGAGGTACAGGGTCAAAGTTTACTCAATGATGAGTCCGTGGCGAACCGTTCGTGGCGAACCGTTCCGCGAACAGTTCGGGACATCACTAATGATAGTGTGTCCAAAAACGTGTGTCATAAACAATAATGTTTTACATTTCCAAGGAAAACAGACTGCATCTATGCACAAAAACCACTACATTAAAATGTAGTGGTTTAGGTGCTTAGAGTGTCCCTTTAACATTCATGTGCACGTGTATGTTTGCACTGGTTCCCATTTTATTCACTAATACAGGTGTTTTTTTTTTACTCTGCTAAACTCAACTCTAGCAGAGTGTTATGATTGGTTTTGGATTAAGACAGGGAGGATAAAGAGATGCAGTCATTTTAAGATACTTTATCCTTCCTTAAATCACTGCTTTGCATGTTGCCTCTAACAAGTTCAACTTAATACGCAGCCTGTGAGCAAATTTCCATAAATATTCATGCAAAGGATCTAATGCCATGTTTGATGTCAGTAATTCACTTACTGCGAATAAATTAATTTGTCCACTTTTCCAGGGTTCCTCTATAAAATGAATATGTTAACCTTAGATATTTATTCACAAATACCATATAGAAACACAGAGGATTTATTAATTAAATCGATGATTTAACAGCCGTGGGTTGTACATAAACCTTCCTCGCACAAAAAAAAACTGATAAATTATTTATCTGTAAACAGCTCAGTGTTTCATTATGCATATAGATCCTGACGTGAGTTAAGAAGCAGTCCTGTTTAGGTATTTATATTAATAGCAATCACTATAATTAACCACATTCCTCCTAACCCTGTGTATAAACTGGATTGGTTTTCTTTTTCATTACAAAGCAGTAAAAAAAAATATTTTAATCATTCACAATTAACTCCTCCTCAGCGCTACACCATACATCCCAAGTGTACTCAATTAGAAGGGACAGTCCCTATTCTGGGTCCAAATTTATCTGCCCCTCTTTTCTAGGAGCTCCATATTGTTGCTGCATCTGAGTGTTTAACAGAGCTCCAGATCAATATTACAGTATTGTGTCCTTAAATAAATAAAATAAAATCTGTTTGTGTAAATAAGATACAATGTTCGTCTTATAAATTGTTTTTGTTGCCTAAATCATCATCTGAACAGCCCTGCCCCTTGCCACAACCCAATCACACCCCTAAAATTAAAGTGTCCCTCTTTGTCCTTTTGAAATGTTGGGAGATCTGCAAACCGATTTTTACCAATTCTCCTGGGGCTCCCGCCGTTACCTCTTCTTGATGATGCACCCAAACAGCAATTGAAATTCCCCAAAATGCCTGTATGTTTGTTCCTTACAAATAATAATTAGCGTAGTACGTAACAATTTTTTTAATCCTTTTTGTCACTCCTATCATATGTGACAAAAATGGCATTTTGTGCTTATACTTCAATAGTTTAGAATTAGTCAGACATTTTGCAAGATAAGGGATAATTGACATAATTGTAAGTTTTTTTAGATATCCCTAAACAGCTATGTATACACATTTATAACCGCTGTTTGTTCATAGTTATGGGTGGCACTGCTGTTGTGAGATACCAACATACCTTAATTTAGGGACAAAATAGCTAAATACCAGTGATATTTTTTCATTAATGATAATAATATAAAATAATAAACAAATTCCTCAAAACCTAGTTTTTGTTTAGATCTTTGTTAATAATCTCAGTTCTATTCATTTTCTATATGGGGCATATTAAATATTTTCAAAGGAAAATATGCTTTCACATCCACAAAATGTAGATTTTCTTTATTTGTTTCATGTACAATACAAATAAACTCTCTGTGCAGAATGCCAAGGGGAACCATTGCCAAATGCATTTTTAGTTTTTTTTTTAAAAGTTAAAATATATTGTACAAAACTAGGCATTCCACAAGGATTACATTTTTATTTAGCCCAAAGGGGAATATCTGTACTTCATTGTGGAGAAAATGAAGGTAGTTTGCATTCAAACTGCGCCTCCCCTACGCATTCTTTGACTATAAACCATTGAGAGAATTTTCATTCTCTCTGCAATTATTTTTGACTGATTTTTAAAACTGTTATAGTTTCAGTCGGAATTAATGAAACAGACATTTTTAATAAGTGATATATCATTTTTATTATTTTGGGAAAATACTAGATTTTCTGAGCTGGACAAAAAAAAAAAAAGCTTTGAGAAATTGGCAAGAAATAAATTGATACACATAAAAGAAGGTGTAGTGGAAAGTAAAATAGGAATATTGCGAAAAATAAATATTTACCCAGAGACAGTGTGTATGTTTGTTTGTGTGAGAATATATATATATATATATATATATATATATATATATAATACAAGATCCAGCGCACTCACCTATCCACTAAACAGCAACTTCAAAGCTCACAGATTTTATTAGTTTTTAAAAAAAAAAAAAAAACCTAATCTATGCAAAAATAATGGGGGTTTAGTTACATTATATGATCATACATTGCATAGGCCTGCCACAATGTCAATGCACCCCATCTTTGGCAGGTCCTACTCTAACAGCCTAATGTCTCCTCTATGAGATTAACCCACTTACTTGGGGGGGAAAAAAAATCCATCTGGGGTTCTCTGCAGTACAAGGCTATATAGGACATAGAATGAGGCACCTGTGACAGAGAGGGGTGCAAAACTAAGTGGTTGACCTAGACTCCCAAATATATACATGTGAAACCAGGGGGCTGCACTCACCTGAACATGCATTAACACACATAAACTAAACAGATTTAAATGTGTTAACCTTTCTTCATAACTAAAATGTTCCATTCCTATTGTTAATTGTTGTCATATAATCCTTCTTTAGAACAGGTGCCCAAAATTGCACAGCATATTCAAGGTGTGGTCTTACCAGTGGTTTATAAAAAGGCTAAATTATATTTTCATCCCGAGAATGAATGTCCCTCTTTATGCATGACAATACATTACTGGCTTTATCAACTGCCAATTGACATTGCACATTATTGCCTACTTTGTTGTCTATAACAATTCCCAAATCTTTCTCGTGTGTTGCTATCCCTAATGCTCTCCTGTTCAGGGTGTAAGTTGCTTGTGCATTCTATATCCCAAAGAGCATAACTTTGCAGAGAGTGCGAAATATAGCGAGTTCAGCAGTGCTTTTATAGAGAGTTAAGACATACAGTTATAGAGAGTGTAGCTCTGCTTTTAGAGATTTCACAAAAATATTACTACTGTATGCCAGGTGAGCAACGAGTTAAAAATAAGAAACACAATAAACATGTTGTGTTTGACACAACAAAAGTGAGGTTAACAGGAACCAAACAGACGAGAAAATGATGCATAAAGGTAAAGAAACATTATGCCTCAATACAGATTCCGTTAAGAGGGAATAACAATTACCAAAGACATAAAACACCATATCTCTGCAGGGATTGGTCTGTAAAGTATGGATCAAACTACACATTTATCAGTGCCACCTCTCTGTCCTTAAGGAGGTGAACCGAGAGTGTGCAGTTTCACACATGAAAGATGATAACACATTTTAAAACCATTTATGGAGCCAGTTGTTTCCAATTTTAAGAATGCATTCCTTTTTCGCTTTGCCTCTTTGCAACCCTGACCTGAAAACCTTGAGACTTTCCTGTCAGTAGAAACTTTTCCTGGAAGTCTCTGGAGAAATTGAGCTGTCTACCTTGAAAAACAAAAAAAATAAAAAAATAAAAAAAGGAGAAAAAAAACTCATCTTGGAGACTTCAACATTTGACAATGAGGAGGAGAGAAGGTACCGTACTGGAAGATTTATTGTGGTCTAGACAGGAACTGATGTCTCCCATACTAATCTACAATATATTGGAGTTTAAAACCAGTACCACAAGCTGTCTGCAGTGCAATATAAAGGACAGAGAAAGGCATATCTATTTATATAGAGGAAAAGAAGTTTCATACAGGGGTCAAGTCCTGGGCTGAAAAAGTGTGTGAACTCACCCAAGATCCACCTCCCCCTACCTCCCCCAAAAATAAAAAATCATATGCTCGTATGCATATATATAGCTGGGTGAAGGGGTGACAGTGTGTGGGAGCTGAAAGTGATTGGGGATGGTGATATTGTATGGAGGGGGTGTCAGTGTATGTATGGGGATAATGATGGTAGGGGTTCTGTAAGGTGGGTAGGGGGGCTATGAGTGGGTATGGGGGCTATGAGAGGGTAGGGGGTCTGTAAGTGGTTAGGGGGTCTGTGAGTGGGTAGGGGGACTGTGAGTGGGTAGGGGGGCTGTGAGTGGATAGGGGATCTGTGAGGTGGGTAGGAGGGCTGTAAGGTGGGTAGAGGGGCTGTGAGTGGGTAGGGGACTGTGAGTGGGTGGTGAGCTGTAAGTGTGGTGGGACTGTGAGTGGGTAGGGGGACTGTGAGGTGGGTATGGGGGCTATGAGAGGGTAGGGGTAAAGTGAGTGGGTGGGGAAGTGAGTGGGTAGGACAGGCTGTGAGTGGGTAGGGGAGCTGTGAGTGGGTAGGGGGACTGTGAGGTGGGTATGGGGGCTATGAGAGGGTAGGGGGAAAGTGAGTGGGTAGAGGGGAAGTGAGTAGGTAGGGCAGGCTGTGAGTGGGTAGGGGAGCTGTGAGGTGGGTAAGAAGCTGTATGGTGGGTAGGGGGACTGTGAGTGGGTACGGGGCTCACTGATTCACTGACAGACAGACACACACAAACACACTCATTCACTCACACATTCACTGACAGACACACACACTCACAGACACACACTGACAGATATACACACACAAACACACAGACAGACAGACAGACACACACACATTTCCCCCCAACAGTTACAGATTATTATTTTTTAATTTAAATCCACCCAGCCTCCCTGCCTTTGGGATTTTTTACCTGGGGTCCAGTAGGGCTGCTGGTCAGGCTGTTTGGGCAGGAAGGCAGGCGGGCGGTCAGCTGAGTTCCAGGCGGGCAGCAAGGGAGCGCTGATTTGTGAGCTCTCCCTGCTTAGCT